GGGAATAAGTAAGAGGGAGAGAGCGTGAAGTAGAAGGAAAGAAGGGGGGAAGGAAGGAGGGAGTAGGTAGAAGGCGGGAAGAGGAGGAGGGATAATGAGTAAGTAAAATAGTTGATAAAGAAGAGAGATAAAGAGTATGTAAGGAGTGGAAGGAGAGAGAATGATGAAAAGTTAGACGTAGACATTAAATAATGGGGGATAGAAAGTGCGGAAGAGGTGGAAAAAAGAGTGAAAATTGAATAAGAAAAAAGAGCAGAAGAAGAAAGGAAAAAGTGCGTAAAATGGAAAGAGAAAGTGCAAAAGAGATGGAAAGAGAAAGGCAGATAAAATAAGTGCATAATAAGTGGAAAGAGAAGTAGATAGGAAAAGAGAGAAAAGTTCTATAAGAGAAGGAAAGAGAAAGAGATAAAGAACGCAGTATAGTGGAAAGAAAAAGAGGAAAGAGAGAGTAAAAAGGTAGAAAGAGAAAGAGACTGAAAGTGAGAGAGAGAGAGATGAATGGCTAGAAATGAAAAAAGGAAGAGAGCGAAAATAGAGAAAATATGAATGACGAGAGTGAAAAAAAGAAATATCATGATAATGGAAAATGACGTTCAGAAAATGCCAAACCTACATACATGAGGTTGTGTAGTTTAAGGAAATTTATCGTTGTTTTTCTCTCGTTTTTCAGTAGAGTTAAACATTTGGTTTACCTTCGTAATTAACTAAATATCCCGAGGGTAAATGTAGAATATGGAGAAACACTTCCAGAGAGAGGGAAGAGAAAGAGAAAGAGAACGAGAAAATAGAAGAGAAGGGAGGGAGAGGGATATCTACTTACTCTCTCTAATTTATATTCTGTCTTATATTTAAACCTTTAAGATCAATCAAAAACAAAAACAAAAACAAAAAAAACTAAGATGGTACTGAATCAAAGGCATTTACCTTCTTATTCCCTTACATTAATACTTTTATATTTGGATATAAGTCAAAACGTTAAGAATGCATTACGAAGTTTATTAAGATAAATGATTTCTCTTGTTAGTCACCGTGTTTAAAACTCTTTCTCTCTTTTCCCTTTTTCCGTCTTCAGAAAACAATTGTCGAAATATTGAGTCCGTAGAAAATCAGCTACAAAATTCGTACCCCTTGAAGGCGTTGCAACATTTTCTGGACTTTACAATGTGATTTTTCTCTCTTTTAATTACGCCTGTCAACTCTTACTTCTTGCACTACCTGATTACACGCTCAAATAAAGTAAGAACAGGAGCAAGGTAGAAGAAGGGGGAAGAGAGAGAGAGCGAGAGAGAGAGAGAGAGAGAGAGAGAGAGAGAGAGAGAGAGAGAGAGAGAGAGAGAGAGAGAGAGAGAGAGAGAGAGAGAGAGAGAGAGAGAGAGAGAGAGAGAGAGAGAGGGGGGGGGGGAGGGAGATAGTGATAAGATGGAGATAGATAGATAGACAGAAGAGAGAGAGAGAGTGAGAGAGAGGCAAAGAGATAGATAGACAGAAAGAGAGACAGAGTATAGAGAGAGACAAAGAGATAGATAGAGAATGAGATAGAGCGGGGAAAGGTTGTGTTTGCGTGTGTGAGTGTGTGTTTGTGTTTGTATAACATCACTGGATCTGAAGTTACATCTCAAACAAATCCTTGCACTGGAATGCACATATCGTAAATAAAGTGTAAAATATTGCTTTGTAAAGCAATGTTAATTTCAGGTTTATAATTTTTTTTTCTCTCCACCCTTCTTGGGTTTGCACTAGTGCCATTAATCTAAACATTAAAAAAGGATGAAATAAGAATACTTGAGATCAAACGAAAAGTCAGGGATAGATTAGTAAAGTGAGGGGGAATAGAAAGAGAAATAAGAAAGAAAAAAATAGATATTACAAACTGCAGACTAAAAAGAAACAGATAAACAGACACACGCAAAGACGCAAAACAGAGAAGAGAGAGAGAGAGAGAGAGAAGAGAGAGAGAGAGAGAGAGAGAGAGAGAGAGAGAGAGAGAGAGAGAGAGAGAGAGAGAGAGAGAGAGAGAGAGAGAGAGAGAGAGAGAGAGAGAGGAGAGAGAGAGAGAGAGAGAAGAGAGAGAGAGAGAGAGAGAGAGAGAGAGAGAGAGAGAGAGAGAGAGAGAGAAGAGAGAGAGAGAGAGAGAGAAGAGAGAGAAAGAGCGAGAGAGAGAGAGAGAGAGACAGACAGACAGACAGACAGCGAGAAAGAGAGAGAGGGAGAGAGACGGACAGACGGACAGACAGTGAATGAACAGAAGAAAAACAAAACAAAATTGAGAGAAATAGATTTCCGAGTGCAGGTCCGTCCGAAAATAAATTTAAGGGGAAAACGAGGAGAGAAGAAGAGTGAAAACGAGCAAGAGGATGTGTGCCAGGGGTGGCCATGGTGGAGGCGGGGGGGGGGGCAGAGTTATTAATGATAAGACAGAACGGACTGATGGCTCGGTGAGAGCGAGAGATGGATAGATAGGTTGATAGACACTCTCTCACACACATGGGTTCAGGGTGAAAGTGAGTGAGTGAGAGGTAGAGAGTATAAAAGGAGAGAGAGAGAGAGAGGATGCGATAGAGAGAGTATAGATAATCAATTTAGATAGATAGATAGATAGAGGGA